AGATCCTGGCAAATGTAAAAAATATGCTTCCAGCAGAGTGTAGTACAAATGCCTGTAATCTCAGTGACTCAGGAGGCTGAGGAAGAAGGATCACAAGTTCAAGGCCAGCCTGGGCAATTAGAGAGACCCTGTAACAAAATTAAGAAAATAAAAAGTGTTGTGGGGCTGGGGTTGTGGCTCAGTGGTAGTGTGCTTGTGTAGCCTGTGTGAGGCCCTGGGTTCAAGCCTCAGCACCACTTAAAAATTAAATGAATACAATAAAGCTGTAAAAAAAAGGGTTTGGAATGTAGTTCAATGAGATACCCCTGAATTCAATTCAGTAGTGCAAATTAAGAAAAAGAAAATCTTTTAAGTGCTTCATAAGGGCTTCCTGGGCCTATGCAGGGAAGACTCACCCCACTCTCTGCCTGGACAAACTTCGACTCACAGGTAAGGCCTGGTTGAAATGTTACCCCTGGGGCTGGGTGGTAGCTCAGTGGTAGAGATGTGCTTAGCAAGCATGTGGTTCTGGGTTCCATCCTTACCGTCCCACACCCGATTACCCCGGTAGCAATCTCTGATCTCACTCACTCTCCAGTCCCATACCAAGCCAACAACAACAACAACAACAAAATACAAACTACTGTAAATTGAAGAGGCTATGGATTTAGGCTGCTCTCTGTGTGACCTTGGCCTCAGCTTCCTCTGCTGTAAAATGAGAATGGCAGCCTGGAAGAGGGCACCTATCTTGTGAGGTTGTAAGGACGTTGATACGGAGGTGCCCAAGGTGGCTCAAGACAAAATGTGGTGAATTCATTTCTTATACTTCATTCCCATTAGACACCCTCACCCTTGCCTCTGGTGACCATGCTCTGGACTGCCTTGCATTCCCTCCTCAATAATCCAGACGCAACGAGTCTCATTCCTTCATTGGGAAAGGGCATGCTCGGAGAGAAGGGTGTTGAGGGTCACGCTAATACCGCAAATTAGAAACCCGCGGTGGTTGGCAGATTTGCAAAATGAAGCAGAGGGTCATTGGGGGAGGGGGGCGTTAGCAATAGTAGGCCTGGACTAGTCTCCACCCAAGGTCACGGCGCCCGCCCAACGGGCAGCCAGCTGCAGGGACGTCTCCCCGAAGCCCCGCCCCCCGAGAGGGCCGAAGTCTCCCTCCTTTGAGTAAGGATTCGTTGCCTTTAAGGCTTTCCGGAAAGTCACCGCACCCGTGGACTGGCAACAAGGCGCGGCGCTTTTTGTCCCTCGCGGGCCTCCGTGGGCCGGGCCGGGCGCGAGGGCGGGGCAGGGGAGCGGCGGTGAGGTCAAAGGCTACAGCGCGCACCACGTGGGCCGGTGACTCCGTCCTTCCCGCAGCGGCGGCCGCGCGCAGGGCACTTGGGTTAGTGGCGCGGCGGGCGGCGCGGACAGCCTAGCCGGACGCCCGCTCCCGCCACCATGGTCATCAAGACGGACGAGTTGCCGGCGGCCGCCCCGGCCGACAGCGCCCGGGAGCATGGCTCGCAGACCGGTGGCAAGGGGCGGCCGGGCGCGGCCGGTGAGCGGGGCCGGGACCAGCGGGCAGCCGGGCGGGGGGAACCGGACCGGGACGGACGGGTTCGGGACTCCGCGGGAACCGCAGTCTTCCTTCTGCGCCTTGCTCCGTTGCATCTCACTGGACCCTCCGCCGGCCGCCCCCGCCCTGAAGGTCACCTTCACTCTCGCCCCCGGCTGCGGCCCGGGCTTCGCACGTGGGGTCTCGGGGAGGGCAACCGCGGCGGGCACACGCGCGTCAGATCGTGGGGACACGTGCGCGCACACGCGGTTTCAGGGTGCGCCGCCGCCGCAGAAAGACGGAATCGGCGGCCCCACCCCCTCCGCCCTGGAGCATGGGTCCCCTCTGGGTTGGGGCTTTCTGACACTTTCTGCCTAAGCTCTATAGGTTCTCTTTCGCATCAGTCTCCCAGATATTCCGTGTGCAGCAGAACTGCAGCCCTGCCAGTGAAACGCGGCTTGACACTTCCCAAGCTGGTCTGTGGGAAGAACACACGAGTAGGGGGTGTGTGTGTTGTGAGGGGCCTTCTCTGGTTCATTCCTAGAGACAAGGGCTTAACCCTAGATCTTGGGGCTGTGATCTTTGCCCACTTAGGTGTTGGCCTGCTCCTCTGACCTGAAGGGTCTGTCTGTGTGTGGGGGCAAAGCTATGCTCTCTGGCAGGGGGAGGTGTTTATGCTAGAACTTGATCATTAACCTGCCTTATTGCGAAAAGTGGGTCAGACCAGAGTTGCTTTTTTTAAGGCAAAGGTCATTAGCGTGGAGTGGAGCTCCCAGCTCTTCCCCAAGGGGGCTGTGTAGCGGTGGCTTTGGGAATGGCTGTAGCTAGCCTGGGGTGGGGCCTGCTTCTCTCCATTTCATCTGGTCCCCTTCTGTTTTTTTTCATCATGCCCCAGACTTCAGTCCGTAGGCTGGAAGCCCCTTCCCAGCCTTTCACTTGTCATTTCCTCAAATCTTCCTGGTGGCCCAGGGCTGAACTTCTCTACCCTGAGTGGCAGTGGAAGTGTAGAGTTACCCTTATTTCCTGCTCCCTCCAACCCTCATCATCATCATGTCCCTTCCCAGCTTCAGTGAGCAGGCTGGGGCTGACTTGGGAGTCCAGATGGGGGTAACACTGGGTAGGTTCTCATCTTGACTTGGGAGTCAGGATGGGACAACACTGGGTGGGACACTGTGATGTCCCTATCATGGTGGATTTACCTTGATGGGAGAGCAGGTACTATGGCAGCTTTGCAGATTGCTTAGACAAGGCCAGGGTTTGGGCAGAACAAGAAATGCTGATAACTCCAGCCTACCAGGCTTGGCCCTGATGCAGTTCTGAATCAGTGGGCGGGCTAGATAAGAGAAGGTTGGGGCTGGCTGGTTTCCCCTCCAGAAAGAGACCTGAAGTGAGTTGCCCAAGGTCACACAGTAATTTAGTTATTGAGGGAAGCATTTGGATTTCCAGGTCATGGCCAGCATTCCAAGGCTGCCCAAGCCTGGTCCACAGGAAGCTAGGACAGACATGGTGCTTTGAATTATGTGCTGAGAACTGAGGAGTTAAAGAGAATTTCTCTGAAAGCCAGAGTGATGCTCCCTTCTCAGGTGTGCTGAGGGACTGTTTCTGGGGGAAGCCTGGGTCAGCGGAGGGGCACAGCTGTCCATCTTGGAGAAACTGGGGGCATTCTAGTGGGAGGACCTTGGCCCCCGCATCCTAGGGAGGTTAGTCTAGAAAGCCAGGACTTGCATTGCAGCCAGTCTGGATCTGTTAAAAGAAGGATAGAGCTTTATTGGAAATCCTTCTCCCATAGACTCCCTCCCAGCCCTTAACCTCAGTTCCCAGCTCTAGAAGATTCTCCAGTCCCCTTAATGAGGAGAGGATCAAGGTCTTGGGAGCAGGTAAGGGTCTGTTACCTTCTTAGGAATAAAGCAGCTTTTAGGGGTTAAGAGAACAGGCAGGTTTTTCAAGTTCACAGTGGTGTGTCGAGTTCCTTCTGCCTAGGGGAGAAGGAACTAGGGCTCTCTAGAGTTGGGGCCAAGAGGGGGAAGAGAAGAGAGCTGGCAGATGAGGGAGGAGTTCAGGGGCTTATAAGCTCCCTCAAAAGGATTCTAAAACTCTTCTCATGAATAGGGTCTGGGCAGACAGCTTAAGGAACTATGGACTAGCCTCAGACCTTGAAGACCTTCTGGCCTGGGTGGGACATGAAGAGGCAAAGGTACTGGCTTCCCCAGGGTCTTCACAGGCTGCCTGGCTGCCCCTGCAACCTGAAATTCTGGATCCAGTGTCTTTTGGGACCTTGCTTCCTGCTGCAGCCTCACCTGCTGAGGTGTGGCCTGGCCCTGGCACGTCTCCTGAAGGAGACCATTCCAGGCTAAGGAGGCACACAGACACTAGCCACTCATTCTTTTCTAACTCTTGTCTACAGCTAATGGGACTTCTGTGTTCCCAGGCCAAGGTAGGATAGGCTTTTTTTGTCTCTTCACTTTAATCTGCCTAGTTAAGACATAGGATGTGCACAGAAGACATAGGATGTGCACAGAATGCTGTTTGTGGACAACCTTATCCCATTCTGCAGAAGGCTAAACCCCAGACTCTCAGAGGAGGCCCCTGGGATATGAGAGGGGGAGCTGGCCCAGGGCTCTGGAGGCCTGGGGAAATTCTATAGCTACAGATATATCTGCCTTCTGGGCTGAGTCCTGAGGTGTTAAAGAGGAAGAGGGTGAGAAGGTGCTGCAGTCTGATGTCTAGGGAATGGGACAGCAGATTGTGCTCAGTGGGAGTGGCACTCAGAGGCAAGGGCCTGGGCATCTGACACACCTGGCTTTTTCTTGACCTGGCTTTGCTGCTGCTTGGCTTCTGTGACCTTGGACAGCTTGACTGCCTTGTGGAGTCTCAGTTTCCTCAAGTTGAATGGGGTGGTGGATGTGATTTAGGGACCTGCTATGGGCTGAGCCTAGAGTGAGCACTGACTCTATGGTAACTAGAATCTAGGTGATATCAACATCTGGGTTCATTGCCAGGCTGCCCTACCTCATCCCCTTCTCTAGAGCATTAGGGTATGTTGGGAGAGTGGGTGGGAGGAAAGGGGCTCTGTCAGGGCTTGATGTTTCTTATCTTCTGGTCCTTGTGAGGAGCAGAACCCTTTATGGAACTGTGGAGGGGCTGCTCAGTGGGTCCCTGGGACTGGAGGGGAGTGGGTCTGGAGTGAGATCCTGGCTCCCTGCCCCTACACTGGTTAGTATGGATGCAGGAGCAGTTCTGACTGGGCCCTGGCAACAAGTCAGAGGCCCTGGGAAGGTGCCCTGGCGAGGCTGGGCATGCTTCTTTTCCACAGCCCAGCGGCCTTCGGCCTCTTGCTGCCAGCTCTGTTTTCCCCAGGGGAGACATTTGATTTTCTCCTGGCAGCGCACAGACTGCTGGGAAGGAAAGAGAGAGCCTGCCAGCTTCTTGGTGGAGCCTGGAGGCCTGGGGCATGGGTGCAGTTGTCCTCTGGGAGACTGGGGGACCATCTTCCTCTCACTAGTGACTAGTGACTCTCAGGAAGGGGCTAGCTGCCAGGTCACCTGCAAGGGACAGCAGGAGCCAGAGGCCCCAGCCAGTCCCTTGACCCAGAAGGCAGGCAGGGCACTCAGTGTCTGCGACTGGTGGACAGGGGCAGCCACCTCATGGCCTGGGCCCGGGTTTGTGCCAGCTGTTGCTGGCAGCTGGCAAAAGCAGTCTTGCCCACCCCAACTGGGGTTGGAGCTGAGGAGAGGACCCCCTTGCTGAGCTCTTCCTCTGCCAACCAGTACCCCCGGCCCTTGATCCTGAGAGGTCCAGGTACCCCAAATGCTGGGTTTTCTTGCTCCCCAAATGGCTTCACCAGCAATGACCCCCTTTCTGGGGGGCATAAAGAAGTGGGCCGGAGTGCTGATAGCAGCTCCTTCTGGGGTCCTGAAGCTACCGGGGCCTCCTGGCCTACAGCCGTCCTTCTGGCCGACCTTGAGCAGGATTCGAGGCAGGGGGAGTGTGCCCTTTCCGGGGCCGCCCTAGCAGGCCTGGCCCCACTGAAACCCGAAGCCAGCCAGAGCTCCAGCTCTGGGCCGACCAGCTGCATTAGGGCAAGGGTAGAGGCAGAGGCTGGAACAAGGGACACAGGCAGTACTGGGCCTGGGCCGGAGGGCTGGCTGCCTTGCTGCCATGGCAGTCCTGAGACTTCAGAACCGAGGAGAGGGCAGCTGCTGACTGCACCAGGTGGGCTGTGGGGGTTTCATGGGGGAGATCATTTGGCCCTAATCTAGTGGTGGGGAGACCTTCAGAGTCTCATGGAGGAAAGGAGAGGTCAGAGCTGGCTGTCCTAGGGGAGAGGAAGATCCTGGGGAACATTCCCTTGATCAGACCAGGAATTAGGTATTCTCCCACCCCTCACTCCATATAGTCCCTTGGCTGGGAAAGGGAGAGGGACCTTGGGCCTACTTTACATCTTCTTTCCCTATTCCATGTCCTCCCTATTCTATACACCCTGAGGAATATAGGCTGCCTATCTGGGTCCAGGTCTGATTCCCTAGTTCTGGGGCCTTACTCTGTGTTGGGTGAGGGTCCTTCCTGTTTCTCCCCTCATTCCCTGGAGTTTGCCAGCCAAAGAAACCTTTCTCAGGGACCCAGTAGAGGGGAAGCTCCTCCTATCTACCATCTCTCTTGCTGCTCTTAGAAAGCTGACCAGCCACCACCCTCTTATCTGTCTACTCTGTCATTAGATGGGCAGGGCTACCCTGCCTGGGGCTGGTGGGTCATTGGAAGGAAAAGATCCTTGTGAATCCTGTGGATTTCAGGAGTTATACTCCAGATTTGGAGAGGGTATGGTGGGGAGACAAGGTCAGGACAGATACTGTTAGAGGCCCACAGTGGCCAGAATTGAGGATAGTGAATCAACATGGATTTGCAGCCTTTAGGAATCTGGGGTCCATTCTGGTTTGGTGACCTTGGGCCAGGTTTAAACCTTAGATCCCTATATGGGGTAAGGAGATGGGGACTTACCACTAAGTTGAGGGGTACATCGAACGGAGAATGGCTTTTCCTTAAGTCCCCTAGTGTCCCTCTGTGGTCTGGGCCAGTCTCCTTTTGTGAGGTCCCTGTTTCACATATCTGGTGCCTCTGGACAGAGGACAGAGGCCTCAGAGCTCTGGGGAAATTCAGTCAATCTGCTTTCCTGATGGCTGAGTAGGGAAGGGGAAGTAGGTTTGGATAGGATGGGCTGGCATCTGGAACAGAATTCAGTAAGCTGTCCTGTCTGGAAGGGGAACTACCTCTTGACTGTGGGGCCAATCTGGGAGATAGGCAAACTCTGGGGCCAAGGTTCCCATTTACCCAATGGGCATCCAGATTGGCATTTGTTCAACTGGAGTGTTTTTGAGAGGAGGTCCTTGACTCCCTAGGGCAGGAAGGCCTCACCTTTGTTTCTTTTAGTTCCTGGGGAGAAATGGGAATTTTTATTCTCTGCTCCCCACTCCCCACAACATGTGAGTTCAGTACTCTTCACAAATATTGGACTTGGCTATGGGTTTGTAGTAAGTTATTCGTTAATATGATGTCTTCTCCTTTAGCCTGGGCAAGACAGAAAGTGGTAGATAGAGCTGCTGGCATGAACAACTACCCAGAATGTAGCAAGATGGTGCCCTGGAGCGGTGTGGGTTGAAAGTCTTCCACAGGTGATGGATTCTGCCAGCTAGGGTCCATTGGGCAGGCTTTTGAGAAGGGGTTTCATTCACCTAGCCCGTGAATTTGCCTGGTGGCTTAAGCACTGAGGTTGGAAGAAGGGAGATGAGAGCTGAGATTGACTTTAAGTAGTACCTAAGAGTGCTAGTCTAAGCTCTTGTCTTGTCAACAGTGGGATTATTAGAAGGGTTCCAGGTGGTGCTCTTAAAATTGAAGAAATGCCTATACCAGGGCCCTGACTGAAGAAACAGGATCCTATGGGTCAGGTTGGAGAAGTAGGTTGGGTGACTAGATAGATGGTGGGGGCCTTTACAAAGCAGGGACTAGTTTGTGGATGAAGATGAATTCCATCTCCACAAGATGAGCTTTTAGTGATGTGTAAGGGACAGCAACATGTGATACCTGGGTATCAATTGAAAAACTTGAGCAAAGCCAGAAATGGCCATGTGAGTTCTGGGCAGAAGGCTATGTGAAGCCGGGTGAGAGGGTGAGGGGAAGTTGAAGAAAGGCTGGGGCTGACCCCACCTCTCAGGATCACCAAAGAGGATGGAGAGGTAGAAACAAGAGTGTCACCTTGGTCAGGAAAGAGGAAAAAGTGCACGGTGATGTTGGTTGCTGTTGAAAAGCCAGACAGGGTTGGAAAAGACCCATGGGCTTGGCCTTAAGGGTGGCGTTGGTGAACTTGGGAGGAGTGGTTGCGCAGTGTGCTCAGGAGGAAACCAGAATATAGTGGACTGGGGAGGGAAAGGAGGGCACAGCATGTGGAAGAGGGAAAGTGGTTGTTTGTAGGTATGTTGGGATGAGGTGGTGTGTCTGGTTAAGGAAGACATGCAAATTCCATGCTATAGGGCACATGCCCAATTCTGTGTCACCTGACCAACAAGACCCATCTGACTCAACTCTTTTCCTGTCTTCCCCAGAGCCACCATCAGTTATGCTGTTGAATGGGGACTGCCCAGAGAGCCTGAAGAAGGAGGAGGGGGCAGCTGAGCCACCTAGGGAGAATGGGCTAGATGAAGGTGAGCCAGGAGATGAGACTACTGGACAGGAAGTCATTGTCATTCAGGACACAGGCTTTTCTGTGAAGATCCTGGCCCCTGGGATTGAGCCCTTCTCCCTTCAGGTAAGATGGAGAAAGAGGTCTTGGGAACAGGGCCTGAGATTGCAGAGGACCACCAGCCCAGGAAGCCAAGCCCTGCTCTTACTTGTCCTGACCTCATGTTGTAGTCAGGAAGCAGGAGTCCTAGGATCCAGGGTCCTTGCTTAGGGTCTCAGCTATTGTGGTAGGTGAGGGAATCAAGTCTAGGTTCAGGTCATTTATCTGTTGCTAAAGGACATCTACCAGTGGGATTACCAGCCCTGTTTGGAGAGAGGAGCAGTGTAGCTAGGTGAGATTGGCATGCTCCATGCCCCAGCCTCTTGCTGTGTACCCTCAGTAAGTTACCTCTCTTTGGGCCATAGTTTTACCATCTGCCAGAGGGGCAGGTGGTATTGGATGGTCTTCAAGGGCAGAGCCAATCCAGAGGTCTTGCAAGCTGGTGACTTGTTATGGGATCATACAAGGCCCTCTTCAGTCATCTATATCCAGGACTTGGGCCCTAGAGTACCCCTTCCAGAGAATGAAGACCATTTGCCCTGGGGAACCTTAGCATTGGGAGGAGGCAAGACTGCATTTGCTCTCCCCGCTTTTCCATCACAGGCTCTGCTCAGGGATTGCTCTTGGGTGTAGGAATTGTGTGGGGCTGGGCTCTGTTCTACAAATATAAACACTGAGGTGTAGATAGATATGGTATATACAGACAGGACCTGGAATGTAAAAGCCCAACAGTGAGAAACTGAGTATTTGGGGCATTTACTCTAGGGACCAGGTACTTTTGCCTGAGGGCAGGAGATATGTATGTCCTTGCTCCCCATTATGTGACCTTTCACCAGGGTAGTCTTGTCTTTCTCCCTGGCAGGTATCTCCCCAGGAGATGGTACAGGAGATCCACCAAGTGCTCATGGACCGTGAAGACACGTGTCACCGTACCTGCTTCTCGCTGCACCTAGATGGCAATATGCTGGACCACTTTTCAGAGTTGCGCAGTGTTGAGGGGCTGCAGGAAGGCTCGGTCCTCCGTGTGGTGGAAGGTTGGTCAAGAAGTTGGTGGCCTACTAGAGTAGAGCCCCGAGAGGCAGGCCAGACAGCATTCCACCTATCACAACCTAGTCAGAGCTGAGCACATGGAGGTGGGACTAATTGGCACACAGGTCTGCCACTTAGGCCATTTCGCTGTCACTGTCCAGCTGAGTGGTCTGCAGGTTAAAGACCAGAGTCCCGGGGCTGGGGTTGTGGCTCAGAGGTAGAGTGCTCGCCTAGCATGTGTGGGGCACTGGGTTCGATCCTCAGCACCACATAAAAAAATAAAGTAAGGATATTGTGTCCACCTATAACTAAAAAAAAAATAAATATTAAAAAAAAAAAAAAGACCAGAGTCTCCATATGAAAAAATCAGCCAGTCCCAAGCCAGGCTTATAATCAGCCCTATCAAATTCTGCAAAGATAAATGTTAACTCTTGTAAGGAAATTTAAAAGTTTTATAGCTTTCAARTGAGGAATTTGAGCCTAGTACAGATCTGTCAGCTCTGGTATGAGATGTTTGGTTATAAAAGAAAAGTTCCAGGGGCTGGGGTTGTGGCTCAGTGGTAGCACTCTTGCTAGCATGTGTGAGGCACTGGGTTCGATTCTCAGCACCACATACAAATATATAAAATAAAGGTTCATCAACAACTAAAAAATTTTATATATATATATATATATATAATTTTTTTTTTTTTTTAAAGAAAAGGGGCTGGGATTGTGGCTCAGGGGTAGAGTGCTCGCCTAGCATGCATAAGGCACTGAGTTCGATTCTCAGCACCACATACAAATAAATAAATAGATAAATTTAAAAAAAGAAAAGAAGAAAAGTTCCAGCTGGGGGACTGTAGGACTCAATCTCAGAGGCTCAGGAGGCTAAGGCAGGAGGATCACAAGTTCAAAGCCAGCCTCAGCAAAACCGAGGCACTAAATAACTCAATGAGACCCTATCTCTAAATAAAATACAAAATAGGGCTGGTGATGTGGCTCAGTGGTTTCAGTCCCTGGCAACCGCCCCCCCCCCCAAAAAAAAAAAAAAAGTTTCTATGGCCTTTTAGGTTCCTAGGGCCTGTCAGCTTTTTAAGAGCAAATATGGAAAGTATCTGTTATTCAGCTGTGCGCATGATTGATCACAGAATGTCTTCCTTACCCCTGTCAAAGAACCACATCTCATAAAACATATATTAAGGGGCACTGTTGAAGTTGGGTGTCCTGTGATGTCAATCTCTAAGAGAAACAGAACCAAGGCTCTGGAGGCCCAGGAGCTGTAAAGTCCTTGCCTACTGAGGCATCAGGGAGCAGAAAGCAGGCACTTTGTAGGTTTTCTAAGGTATTTGTGGTTTTGAGAGGTGGACAGGTTTTTATGAGAAGGATCCTTGCTCACTTTTCAAGGCAGCTGAGATCGGGTATGGTGTGTGTTTTGAAACCAGAARTATGTGTTCATAGTGGAATTTTTTTTAATACTTTTTAGTTGTCAATGGACCTTTTTAAAATTTATTTATATATCGAACCCAGTGCGTCACACTTGCTAGGCAAGTGCTCTACCCCTGAGCCACCACCCCAGCCCCTTCATAGTGGAATTTGAAAATGGGAACCTAAAATTGAAAATTTAAACATCCATGAGGCTGGGGATATGGCTCAGTGGTGGAGCATTTGCTTAGCATGCACAAGACCCTGAGTTCCATCCCCAGCACTGCCAAAACAAAAACCTCACCCTCATAGGACCTCTACAAACTCTTTGCTGAGCTAGGTGGGTTGGTCCTGGTCAGGGCTGTGGTAAACCACCTGCCTCTTCCCTCCTGCCAGAACCCTACACAGTGCGGGAGGCTCGTATTCACGTGCGCCATGTCCGAGACCTGCTCAAGAGCCTGGACCCATCTGATGCCTTTAATGGGGTTGACTGCAACTCCTTGTCCTTTCTGAGTGTCTTCACTGATGGCGATCTGGGAGGTGCCGGAAGCATTGGGGCCGGGGAATTGGGCAGAGGGGCAGGGAGCAAGGGGGCCAGGGACTGGTGAAGAGGCTAGGGACCATGCCTTCCTATCAGGGAGGTTGGGTCCCAGGAATGTACACCAGGGTCATATTGAGGCAGGGAGACAGCTGGTTCCCGGCTGACCACCAGCCTCGGGTCCCTCAGACAGTGGGAAGCGGAAGAAGGGATTGGAGATGGACCCCATCGACTGCACGCCACCTGAGTACATCCTGCCAGGGAGCCGGGAGCGGCCGTTGTGTCCCCTACAGCCCCAGAACCGTGACTGGAAGGTGGGACTGCTAGGGGAATGAGGTCAAGGGTCCCTGTTGGGGGTGCCCAGGAAGATCAGCTACCTCATGCTTGACTGTTCCTGTAGCCCCTTCAATGTCTGAAAGTGCTCACCATGAGCGGCTGGAATCCACCCCCTGGGAACCGCAAGATGCATGGGGACCTCATGTACTTGTTTGTGATCACGGCCGAAGACCGGCAAGTCAGCATCACGGCATCCACGCGGGGCTTCTACTTGAACCAGTGAGCCCCTGCTGAACCCCCATTTGCCCCCTGTGTGACCCCTGCCCGAGGTCTGAGACAGATGCTCAGAGCATCTGCTCAGTGACCCCTGTCTTTCTGCAGATCCACAGCCTATCACTTCAACCCCAAACCCGCCAGCCCACGCTTCCTCAGCCATTCCCTAGTGGAGCTGCTCAACCAGATCAGCCCGACCTTCAAAAAAAACTTTGCTGTGCTACAGAAAAAAAGGTAGTTCCTTTGTACCTTCTCTGCACCACCCTGTCTTCCATCATGCGTATGAATTGAACAGTAGCATCTTTGCTTGAAGAAGTGGTGCCCATGACCCTCAGTGCCTAAGAGGCCCCACTTAAGGGAGATGGCAGTCCTGGGAGAGTTGCCCGCTAGTTTCTGATGCTTCAGGGTGGCATCTCAGGCCCAGAGATGCTGGAACAGTGGGGTCCTCAGAAAAAGGACCCTATAACTAGGCTCAGAGCTTGGTAGGCTGCCCATCTCCCCCTCCCCTGCCTGCCACAGGGTCCAGCGCCACCCGTTCGAGAGGATCGCCACCCCGTTCCAGGTGTACAGCTGGACAGCTCCTCAGGCAGAGCATGCCATGGACTGTGTACGTGCAGAGGATGCCTACACCTCAAGACTGGGCTACGAGGAACACATTCCTGGACAGGTGCAGCCGTACCCTCCTGGGCTTCCCTCCCCTCCTGTGCCCTGCTGGTTCCATGCATTTCCAAAGAGGCTTCATTTGCTTCTCCATTCACTTGGGAGTCTGGGGGGCTGTCTGCGGGAGGTGGATAAAGACTGTCCATAGTAGGTCATGGGGCACCAGGCTGAGCCTGCATCTGTCTCTTTCCCTTTTTCAGACTCGGGACTGGAACGAGGAGCTACAGACAACTAGGGAGCTGCCCCGCAAGAACCTGCCTGAGCGGCTTCTTCGAGAAAGAGCCATATTCAAGGTGTCTCTACCCCCTCATGACTGTCAGGCCCACCTGCCACTTGCCAGCTTTTCTTATGGTCAGGAGGAAAGCTGTGGAAGCTGGGACACCCATCCCTGTCGGCTGCCTGAAGGCTGGTCTGGGTACCTACCTGCAGGATGTCCCAGCTCCCCGCCTCCCAGCAGACTACCCAACTCCTTTTTCTGGTTCCTTTGAGGCTTTGAGTCCATGGGAAGGAGAGGGACCCACCTCCTATATAACTGAGTGCAAAGTTCATCCAACTTCCCACCTTTCACTGGTCACATGGGGCCCTTATCTGGACACCATGACTGTTTCTTGGGTGGTAGCACATTTGCACTGCACTTTCAAGTTGCTTGGGTTTAAAAATTGTTAGTACTATTACTGTGATAGAAATGAGGAAAAATATTAAACAAAACAACAGCTAGGTGTGGTGGCACCTACCTGTAATTCCAGCGGTTTGGGAGGCTAAGGCAGGAAGAACACAAGTTCAGAGCGAGCCTCAGCAATTTGGTGAGGCCCTAGTAATTTAGTGAGGCCCTGTCTCAAAATAAAACAAAAAGAGCTGGGATGTGGCTTGGTGGTTAAGCACCCCTGGGTTAAATCCCTGATAACAAAACAAAAACCACCTGTCATCATACCATGAGAGACCATAATGGTAAAAAGTAAGAGCTCTGATTCTTTTTTTTTTTTTTTTTTTTTTTTTTTTTAGAGAGAAAGAAAGAGAGAGAGAGAATTTTTAATATTTATTTTTTAGTTCTCGGCGGACACAACATCTTTGTTGGTATGTGGTGCTGAGGATCGAACCCGGGCTGCATGCACGCCAGGCGAGCGCGCTACCACTTGAGCCACATCCCCAGCCCAAGAGCTCTGATTCTTGATATTAACTTGGCCAGAGGCTATGCCAAGTGCTCTATCAGCATCATCCCTTATAATCTGGGACACCTCTTAAAGGTCCATGTAATACTCTTATCAGTGTTTTGTAGATGAGGGGATCTGAGAGGTTACCCGTTCTAGCTTCCCTGGCACATATCTGCTGGGTCCCAAACCTGTTCTAGCCCCCGTACTTCCTGTTAATCAGTAAGCACTACTGTCTTTCAGTGTTTAGTCTGGGGTTTTTGTTTGTTTGTATTTTTATTTTTTTAAAGATTTTCTTTCCCTTTTCTAATTGAGGAACGTTTGAGGCTAGAGTCTCAGCTCCCAGCAGGTCTGGTTGCCTCTACCATCTTGAGAGATTGGTTAGGGTAGGATGCAGTATGAGATTCTTGTAGGTGGGGCCTTTCTCACCCTCCCAACCTTGGCCCCTCCCAGGTACACAGTGACTTTACAGCGGCAGCCACACGGGGTGCCATGGCAGTCATTGACGGCAATGTGATGGCCATCAATCCCAGTGAGGAGACCAAGATGCAGATGTTCATCTGGAACAACATTTTCTTCAGCCTGGGCTTTGATGTCCGTGACCATTACAAGGACTTTGGTGGGGATGTGGCAGCCTACGTGGCACCCACCAATGATCTGAATGGTGTGCGCACATACAACGCAGTGGACGTGGAGGGGCTGTACACACTGGGCACTGTAGTGGTGGACTACCGAGGCTATCGGGTCACGGCTCAATCCATCATCCCTGGCATCTTGGAGCGGGACCAGGAGCAGAGTGTCATCTACGGCTCCATTGACTTTGGTAAGACAGTGGTGTCGCACCCACGGTACCTGGAGTTGCTGGAACGGACCAGCCGACCCCTCAAGATTCTGCGTCACCGTGTACTCAATGACCGTGATGAGGAGGTAGAGCTCTGCTCCTCAGTTGAGTGCAAGGGCATCATTGGCAATGATGGCCGCCACTACATCCTTGACCTGCTGCGCACCTTTCCACCTGACCTCAATTTCCTGCCTGTTCCCGGTGAGGAACTGCCTGAGGAGTGTACCCGAGCTGGCTTTCCCCGTGCCCACCGCCATAAGCTATGTTGCCTACGCCAGGAGCTGGTGGATGCCTTTGTGGAGCATAGGTAAGGAGCACACAGCTGGAGGCTGGGGCTGCAGCTCACAGTGCCCAGCCAGGATGTGGCCTCAGAACCTGTTTGATTCTGAGGAAAAAGAAGGTTTGGATGGTAAAGAAGGGCAAGCTGTGGCCACACTGTCTGGGGCTCCATTCCCCACCTCCCACCCTGGTCTGACCTCAAGCTCTCAGGTGAGAAATCCAGGGGCTTCCTGTCTCTTGTCTACAAGTGATCAGACCAGAGACTCAGCCGAATCTATTTTCTTAAGGAACATTAGAAATCTGCTATGGTGGTTTTGAATATCACAATTCCAGGGCTAGGAGATGGCACATGGGATATTGGCATTTAGTGCTTAGGAGTCGACCATGTCAAATGTTCCACACCATAACTAACCCTCTGAAAATGACAGTGGCAGTCCTGTTACTACTAACATTCTTGGCTGGGAGCCCTTCCCCAGCCTCCCACCCCCAGTTGCCTTCTTCCTGTTTGGGGAATTCTCGCTTTCTGCGTGACCTGCCGCTGCCTGGTAGTTTTGCTGGGCTGCCATAGGCATGTGTACATTGGGCAGGATATGGCCTCATGCCTCCAGGGTGTCCAGTCTGGACATTCCTTAACCCCTGCAGCAAGCTGCCAGGCCAGCAAAGCTTCTAGATTCCCCTTTCCCACCTCCTGCTTTATCCTGTTGCTCTGCTGTAGATACCTCCTCTTCATGAAGCTGGCCGCCCTACAGCTGATGCAGCAGAAGGCCAGCAAGGTGGAGAACCCCACTTCACTGGAAAATGGTGATCTTTCCCCCTCGGAGTCCAAGCCTGAAGACTCTCTGGGATCCGAGGTGGGAAGCCAGGAGGAGGGCGGCAGTGCCAGTGGCCTGGCCAAGGTGAAGGAGCTGGCGGAGACCATCGCCTCAGATGATGGCACAGGTGGGGCTGCTATGGATGCCAGTGGGGAGAGCCCTGAGTCTGCCCTGGCAGCTCATCTTTGCCAGGGATGGCTCATGACCCGGCCCTGGAGAGAAGCAGGCAGCCATCTCTGCAGGGAGCTGGGAGCAAGAGGCTCAGGGTAGCCTAGCCCCCAAGAGGTGGAGTGGGACCACCTGCCATCGTGCCATGTCCCCACAGCAGACCCCCGGAGCCGGGAGGTGATCCGCAATGCATGCAAGGCTGTTGGCTCCATCAGCAGCACGGCCTTCGACATTCGCTTCAACCCTGACATCTTCTCACCAGGCAAGCAATGGGGCTTCAGTGTAGGAGTGCTGGTGGGTGGGGGCAGAACATCCTGGGGTGGACTTRGGGCCTCGGTGCCTATTGGAGCACTGCCATGCCTGCTCCAGTGATATCTTTCTTACCTCTGTACTTCCCCTGCTTAGTTCAGGCTTCTCTCCTGTCTCTCCTGCAGGGGTTCGCTTCCCTGAGTCCTGCCAGGATGAAGTTCGGGACCAGAAGCAGCTGCTGAAAGATGCAGCTGCCTTCTTGCTTTCCTGCCAGATTCCTGGCTTGGTGAGGGAGGGGCTGCAAGGGTGGGCAAGGGTTACCCAGAAGGGCTATTGCAGGACCTGGTATCTTGTGGGTGTCTGATTCCAGACACTGGAATTTTTGCAGGGGTGGCTTCTTCATGCCCCCTGGCCTATAGGTCAGGCAGAGCCAAGTGATTGTCTCCATTTTATACATGGGGAACTTGATCCCAAGAGATCAAGGGAGGCCCAGGCACCCACTCTGTCCTGCTGAGGCTGGGGTCTGGTCCTCAGAGCCCCAAGTAGTGAGAGGCCTCATCCTCACAGGCGTTGTACCCTTGTGTGACACATTTACTCCCATTTTAGTAGGAGCCCTAGGGTCAGATGGCCTGCTTATCTCAATGTTGTCTCAGGAAATAGAGATAAAGGTGTGGCCCCCACATAGTCACCTACTCTTTCCCACATGGTCAGTTGGCCCTCAGTTCTTCACACATGGTCCATAGCCCTACTTCCCTCTTGGGAGGGTGGCCGCTTCTGTTTGCTGTGCTGTGGAGAAAGTTGGAGACAGGTTCTCATGGCCTCACTGCTGCTTTGTCTTCCCAYCTGGGAGCTGGGGTCTTATCCCCTCCTTCCCTCAGGGCCCCAGGACAGCAAAGCTCCCCAGGAGGACCCAGGGGGGTGGAGGCAAAGGACCCAGGCTGGGGCCCTGACCTGCTGCAGCCCGCAGGTAAAGGACTGCACAGATCATGCGGTGCTGCCCATGGACGGAGCCACACTGGCTGAGGTGATGCGCCAGCGTGGCATCAACATGCGTTACCTGGGCAAGGTGTTGGACCTGGTGCTGCGGAGCCCAGCCCGTGACCAGCTGGACCACATCTACGTGAGTGGGGCTGAGGGTGGACTGTGAGATAGGCAGAGGGGTAGAGACCCAGGGCCTGATCCAGTTTTCCCTCTTTAAATCCCTTTAGAAAATTGGCATTGGTGAACTCATCACCCGCTCTGCCAAGCACATCTTCAAGACATACTTACAGGTGCCGCCCTCCCCAGCCTGGCCAGCCTCCCTGGGTGGTGTAGGGCTTTGGAGAAGAGCCATGGGTTGTAATTGAGGGCCTTCATGACTTTGGTCATAAACTTCCTTGCAGGGAGTCGAGCTCTCAGGCCTCTCGGCCGCCATCAGTCACTTCTTGAACTGCTTCCTGAGCTCCTACCCCAACCCTGTGGCCCACCTTCCTGCGGATGAGCTTCTTTCCAAGAAAAGGAACAAGAGGAGGAAAAACCGTCCTCCAGGGGCTGCGGATAACACAGCCTGGGCTGTTATGACCCCCCAGGAGCTCTGGAAGAACATCTGTCAGGAGGCCAAGAACTACTTCGACTTCAGCCTCGAGTGGTGCGGGCATGGGGTGCTGGGGGTGGTGGGTCAGGTTGAGGAGGTGGTGCTGCTGGTCTCCSAGATAGCATCAAAGGTCCTTGGTCAGGGTAGTGGAGTGAAGAGAGGAGGGAAGAGCCCGTAGCTGTGGAGGATCTGTGGCATGGGAAGCAAGGGTGGGAGCATTAGCTTTTGGGCACTGGATGTTGAGCAGTGGGGGGGCTCCTGGAATCAGGTGGAGAAGCAGCTGTCCTTAGAGGCAGAGACAGTACTGGGCTGCTCAGGACCCAAACTTCTCCCCCAGTGATTCTGTGGACCAGGCTGTGGAGACCTACGGCCTGCAGAAGATAACACTGCTGCGGGAGATCTCCCTAAAAACCGGAATCCAGGTGGGCACAGGTTATAGTGCCCTGGCTCTGTGGATCCCCCTCCTGTGCAGGGCCACAGGGTCATTGGGGGAGGTGGCTTTCTCAGATTGGCAGTCTCTGGACACATGCTGGTGGGCTGGGAGTTGTTAGCCCTGTTACCCTAATGCTGAGGCTGCTTGTCCCCCAGATTCTGCTGAAGGAGTACAGTTTTGACAGCCGCCACAAGCCTKCATTCACTGAGGAGGACGTGCTCAACATCTTCCCCGTGGTCAAGCATGTCAACCCTAAGGCCTCGGATGCCTTCCACTTCTTCCAGAGTGGGCAGGCCAAAGTACAGCAGGGTGCGTGGCCAGGCATGCCAGGGGAGGTGGGGACATCCCTTAGCCTGCTCTGACCTTGTGGGCTGCCCTGCAGGCTTCCTGAAGGAGGGCTGCGAGCTCATCAACGAGGCCCTGAACCTGTTCAACAATGTGTATGGAGCTATGCATGTGGAGATCTGTGCCTGCCTGCGCCTCCTGGCCCGTCTCCACTATATTATGGGTGACTACGCTGAGGTGGGTGGCTCTAGAATACTCCTGGGGTGCGTTGTAGAGGCCTTGGGTGAGGAGGAGTGAGGAGCCTGGGACTGCATTGTCAACCCCTACAGTACTAGGAGGTGGTGTCCAAGCTGTTCAAGGGATCCTGCTCCCTTTGGTGGTCTTATGGGGAAGCAGGTAGGATCCAGGGACCACGGGAGTCAGTCACCTGTTCTGTGAGCTTCCCTTCAGTTCCACCCCTCACACACTGTCCTTGGGAGAGCTCAGGGGCCACTTTTGTTCCAGTAAAGCGAATAATTTGGAAGGACTCAAGGCCTGCCCTTTCAGGGACACTGGCAAGGGTAAATTCTGAGACCCTGTGAGGAGTGTGGCACAGTTTCTGTCACCTCACAGGTGCCACGTGGAAGCTACACAATGTGGTGTTTTTGTTGTCAGTGTTCTGTGGCCTGGTTTGCGGATTGCCTTTCTGACCCTGGAGCTTTGAGGGGCTTTTTCAGGGATCGGTACGCTTTAAGTCATCCCCCACTGCCCTTCAATCGGGGGGCTATTTAATCTTTTTGGGTAGGCATGTTTTTATTTAAAAAGTTTAATTTCTAGTGCAGTTTGGGGTTTGTTTGTGTGTTTTTACATAGGTTTTATTAGAGGAAGATGACATGACAGTAATTTTTAGTCTGGTATGATGGCCCATGGCTATAATCCATGGAATGTGTGATTCAGGGCTAAGGCAGGAGAGTTACAAATTGAGGCCAGCCTCAGCAACCTAGCAAGACCCTATCTCAAAATTTTAAAAATGTTAGCTGAGTGCACGCCTGTAATCCCAGTAGCTCAGGAGGTGAAGGCAGGAGGATCGTGAGTTCAAAGCCAGCTTCAGCAATTTAGTGAGGCATTAAGCAACTCAGTGAGACCCTGTCTCTAAAGTACAAAATAGGGCTAGGGAAGTGTGGCTCAGAGGTTGTGTGCCCCTCAGTTCAATCCCTGGTCCCCTCCACCCCTCAAAAACAATTTTTTTTTAAAGGGCTAAAACTGTAGCTCCATCATGAAGTGCCTTGGGTTCAATCCCTAGTACCAAAAACATAAAATAGGAAGAGTAGATTTTTAGAAGGCTTGGTAGGGTATGTACATCCACAGTGACAAAAGCTGGTTATGTATGAGCCACTCTCTATTGCTTTTGTGCAAAGAAAGAATAGAAAGCACAGCCAGAGCCGACAGGCTGAGCAGCAAGGTGTGGGCTCTGGTGTGGGGTGGTATCCACCCTGAGACTGACCACCCCGCCTCCCCAGGCCCTCAGTAACCAACAGAAGGCAGTGTTGATGAGCGAGCGAGTGATGGGCATCGAGCACCCCAACACCATCCAGGAATACGTGAGTAGCCGCCCCGGGTGGCCTTTGTGGAGGTGAGGCCTGCACCGCCCTGACCATCATGGCCTCACCCACAGATGCACCTGGCTCTGTACTGCTTCGCCAGCAGCCAGCTGTCCACCGCGCTGAGCCTGCTGTACCGCGCCCGCTACCTCATGCTGCTCGTGTTTGGGGAGGACCACCCTGAGATGGCTCTGCTGGATGTGAGTGCCAAGGAACGGGGGGGGCTACAGCCACCAACCTCAGTCTATGGGAGCAGGAACTGACCATGTTCTCACATGTGTCCCAGAACAACATCGGTTTGGTGCTGCATGGCGTGATGGAGTACGACCTGTCACTGCGATTCCTGGAGAATGCGCTGGCCGTCAGCACCAAGTACCACGGGCCCAAAGCCCTTAAGGTGGCCCTCAGGTGAGACTACAGTAACCCAGACCCACAGGGACCCAATGGGCTTTTGGTGGGGCAGGGGCGGAACCCAGTGCTATCTGACTCCTATGAAAATTTTCTCAACCTCCACCTCCTCTCTGTACCCTGGACTTATGTGCCTCCCCCCACCCCGCCCCTGCCCCCCGAGGATCCAAGGGATGGATCTAGAGCAGAGCCCCAGGCTCCAGAAGGTCCTCACTGCCCTGCCCACTTTCATCCTTCCTTCGCCCTGTGTACTGTGCCTCTATAGCCACCACCTAGTTGCCCGGGTCTATGAGAGCAAAGCTGAGTTCCGGTCAGCCCTGCAGCATGAGAAGGAGGGCTACACCATCTACAAGACCCAGGTGGACCATGGCAGGGGCTGCAGGGGGGCTGGGCCTAAGCACTGTGGGCAGCCCTGATTCCCTCCTGCCTCGGCCCCTGTTCCTCATAGCTGGGTGAGGACCATGAGAAGACCAAGGAAAGCTCCGAGTACCTCAAGTGCCTGACCCAGCAGGCTGTTGCCCTGCAGCGCACCATGAATGAGATCTACCGCAATGGCTCCAGCGCCAACATCCCGCCCCTCAAGGTATGATGACCCTGGGCAGCATGGCTGGCCCCTGGCCTGTGGGTCCCTGGCTTCGCTCACTGGCTTGTCCTCCCCACTGCCCTTCAGTTCACAGCTCCCAGCATGGCTAGTGTCTTGGAGCAGCTGAACGTCATCAATGGCATCCTCTTCATTCCTCTCAGGTGAGGCTCCCCAGAGCATGCACCCCCCCTCAGAACCTGGCCTTTAGTTTTCATTTTTAATGTCATACATTGACATGGCTGCAAATTGAGAAGTGTCACCAGTGATGAGAGGTTCCTTGTTAACTCCTCCCTAAGATTACACAATTGAGCAAATACTATGTGCATGGTATGCTACAATTTCATGTACAAAAATTAAAGGGAAAAAGATGGAATTTTGGGTATTTACATCACTTAACAATGTATCTTAGTGATCTTTTACATCCAGCTTCTTTTCTATTGCAGAACAGGGATGTCCCTCATAAACAGACCAATCCCTAGGGTTCTCTGAGGATTCCCTCTGGCACTTATTAACAGTGCTACCTTTAGGAGCTCCTCCTTCTCCCTCTTCCCTCCCACCATTGTGGGAAGTGGCTTTGGTCAGCCATGGTGCTGCATCTGGCTCCCATTCTCTGCCTATGGCCTGCTACAGGAGAGGACAAGTTGCAGCTAATTTGAACTTGGCATGACGGGGAGTGGGATCCAGGCCTTGCCTAAGGCTCTCTCCAGAGAAATTTGGGACTTTTAGCACTTAGGGACCTTTTGCTTTAGGAAGGAAAGTGCTTGTTATACACATTTCTCATAAAATAAAATAGAGCTTAGCCATGTCCTGAGTGTAAATGTAACCAAATCCAGCAAGGTGGCAGAGGGCCCAGGCTACTCTGACCCCACCTTCACCCCACCTTCCCATCCTTCCACTCAGCCAAAAAGACTTGGAGAATCTGAAGGCCGAGGTGGCACGGCGGCACCAGCTCCAGGAGGCCAGCAAAAACAGGGATAAGGCTGAGGAGCCCATGGCCACTGAGCCYGAGCCGACAGGGGCTTCAGAGGACGTGGGCTCCCAGCCCCAGGCTGCCAAGGACCCTTCCTCCCCAAGCTTGCAGGGATAGAAAGGGAAAGACAGATGGACTGTTAGTCAGCGGCCCGTTACCCAGTGATCCAGACTCCAGGAGAAGGGGGCGTGCCCTGCAGATCGAAAGAGGAAGCCAGTCCCTTTTCTTCCATGTTCCACCCCACCCCACCCCAGCATCCTCCTGGGATCCCGGCCTGGCCTGCCCCCCAACAGATGTTTTTGCACTGGTTCAATGAATATACGATGCAGAGGCCTAATTGAAGACACATGAATGGAGTGTGTGGGCATTGGTTCCAGCTGGGGGGCAGGCGCCCCTCAGGCCCCATCCTCGAGCAGGTGTGTGCGAGTGTGTCCATGCCCGTGAATGTCTTGATCCGTCCCACCTAACTTGTACATAGCCCCCAGTCAGTTCTGAGTGGATGACGTGCAGATGCGATTTCTCAGGTCATTTGTATGTTTGACATTATGGCTGCTGCTTTTGCTGCCACTACCCCTGGGCCCAACCTGGCTTAAGTCCAGGTCTTAAGCCAAAAAAGGGGGGGCTTTCCTTTATCTTGGGAGAGGGAGCCAGAGCTTTGTGGCAGGCTGGAGGGTTGGGGTGCACTTTAGTTTTGTGACAAGATGAGATCTGCACTGGCTTTACCAATTATGATGGGGCTTGACCTGGCTATACCTTCAGGGCAAGGGAGAAGGGGGACCAGTGGTGGTGGACTCTCAGACACCAGTTGCCCAACCCAGCCTGTCTGCCTTTGGCCCAGCAGGAGGCACTGCTACAGGCTCTGACTTGCCTCCCTGCACCCTAGGTGGGATAACCTTGGGGGCCACAGCCTGAATGTATCCTTCTCCCATTTTAACCTGAGCTGCCTAACGCACAGTGGGGGTGGGGTGGGCAAGGGCTGGGGAACCAGGACTGAATCATGGATCCTGGGGAGAAATTACCAGGTATAGGAGTGATTGTCACCTCTCTGGAGTCCAGCTCCCTACCTGATCCTTGTCACACAGGCACCTTCAGAGAGTAGTTCTGGGGGTAATGGGGGCTTTCACCAGCCCAGCTGCTCCTGCTCCCTGCCTGCCTGTGTTGCTTCTCTGTGCCTGCTGTCAAAGCCCTACCCAGGAGGAGACTGTTGTCCTGTGAACCCAAGGGAGCTGTTCTGGGCCACAGCCTCTGCCTGGGGCTTTGCAGAGAGCTGCTTATGGGTAGGGTCTGTCCAGGCACCTTGTTTCAAAGGGAGTGGGCATGAGTTAGCAAGCGAGGCATCCCACAGCTGATCAAGAACTTTTTCTTGTTTTTAAACCATCACGTCTTCATTTCACATTGGAATAAAGTGAGTTTTTGAAACCTGCTGCCCTAGCCTCCCCAGTGTGTTCTGTAACCTAGCCCCTTGTGTTTGATTGTAAGGATTGTTGTCAGAAATGTTATTGGGAGTTGACTGCAAATTAGGTCAAATTCAAGGTTATGCTTATAATGTCACTGAAATGGGAAGAAAAGGGGTGGAGACTCAGGCACTTAGCTGGGGCTTACCCATGAGTTTGTTGCTCAGGTGACAAGAAAAAAGTTTGGAACGAAGCCTGGGTGGGGGATGGCTGCTAAGAGGGGGGGCCTAGGACCTGGACAGGTTGAACTTTTTAGGTCATTAAAAATCTTACTGGCTGGGCACCTGCCCTTATCCCTTCACTTGCAGCAGGAAGATTGGGCAGTACTCCCTAGTCTATAGTGCTAGAAGAATGGAGGAGTGTCTACAGTTAGTCAACTTCTAGGCCTTCTGTTGTTTTGGGGGGCACTCACCCTCTGCTACATCCTTTGCCCTTTTTTTTTTGTTTGTTTTTGTTTTTTGTTTTTTGCTAAGGCTGGCCTCAAACTTGCAATCCTTCTGCCTCAGCTTCCCAAGTCTCTAAGACTACAGGTATGACCAACAACAGGCAGCAACCTTTGTTTTTGCAGTTCTGAGGATTGAACCCAGGGCCTTGCTAGGCAAGTGCTCTACCACTGAGCTCCACCCCTGTCCCTCAGTGTAGGTTTTAGAGCAAGCTCGTGGAGTGCAACATGAAACGGGAAGAGGAGCCCAACTAGGGGGACTTGTGGGACTGAACATATTTTTGATTGGTTGTGGTACTGCAGCTCAACACAGGGCTTAAGTTAGGCAAGTGCCCTACCATTGAGCTACACCTTGGCCCTTGAATGCCTTTTTGAGTGCTTGGAGAGTCCTTAGTGTGTTAGACATCCTGAGAAGAAAGTTGTTTCCAAACCTGATGTCTTAGTTTTCCTGAGCAAACTTGGGGAGACAGCCCTGACCTGAGGCTTAAAGTGGCATCTAAGGATAGCCATTAGTGCTTTAGCCCTTTAAGCTGGTTACATGTTCCCCACCAATGGTTTCTTCATGGTTGTGTTCCAAACATACTTCCCTCTGCCCCTCTGCCAGTGAACAAAGGTCACGTTTCACAGTGCTTGTGGAAATGGGGCATCATGGGAAGCAGAGACTGGCTTGGATTTAATTAACTTTGTGGCTGCTAGTCACCTGAGAGGCCCATTTTTCCTGGTTGGTCCCTTAAGCGTCTTAGTGCTGTCAGATACGTTTTGTCAACCCAGATAACAAGAGGCTGTTCTATAAGAAACAGACTGGAGGTGCGCAATCACCCTTTCTTTTCCCTTCTTTTAATTGGCAGGTTTCTTTTTTCTTCCCTAGTACTGGGAATCAAACCCAAGGACAGTCTACCCGGAACCACATCCCTAGCACTTTTTTTCTTTGGGTTGTGGTTGGATACAATACCTTTATTTTATGTATTTATTTTTACGTGGTGCTGAGGATCGAACCCCAGCGCCTCACATGTGCAAGCTGAGTGCTCTACCGCTCAGCCCCAGCCCCAGCCTCCCTCCCCAGCACTTTTTAGTTTTTAATTTTTTTTTAAAGATAGAGAGAGACAGGAGAGAGATAATTTTTAATATTTATTTTTTAGTTTTCGGTGGACACAACATCTTTGTTTGTATGTGGTGCTGAGTATCGAACCCGGGCCTCACGCATGCCAGGCAAGCGCACTACCACTTGAGCCACATCCCCAGCCCTTTAGTTTTTAATTTTGAGACCCTATCTCAAAAGACTGGGGATGTGGCTCAGCGATGAAGTGCCAGTACTGTGGGGGGCTGGGGGTTAAAAGTCTCAGAGTCCTCCTCACATTTACTAGTTCATAAGGTGCATTACACAGCACACTAGGTTAAGGGGAAAAGCTAGTGCAATTCAAGTTCCAGCTCACACCTTAATTCGCTGTAATACTTCTGGTGTGTGAGTCCCTTCCCTTATGCAAGCCTTGGTTTTCCTGTCACTAAAACTAATATTTATCAGCAGAGGGCATGTGTATGTATGAAGTGTTTGTCCCTAGTAGGCATTTGTAATGCCATCTGTCGTGCTTCCCGCCTTAGCCCCTCCACCTCCACTTTCAGTGAGAGAGCCAGATGACCAAGTGGGAATGACAACTACCAAATATTCATGAAGTGATGAACTCCCTGTGTCAAAAGTGAGGATGAGGGCTGTAGTTGTGGCTCAGTGGTAAGACCACTTGCCGGGTATGCGTGAGGCACTGAGTTCAATCCCTGGTACCACATAAAAAAAAAAAACAAAGGTATTATGTCCATCTACAACTAAATATATACATATGTATATAAAAATAAAAAAGATGTTGTATCCATCTACAACTAAAAGAAATTTTAAAGGAAGGTGAAAAGGAGAAAAGAAATCTTATTTAAAACCCTACTAAGGGCTGGGGCTCAGGGACCAGCAACTTTTGCCCAAATTTCTTTGGTGAGAAGTTGAATCATTTAGGTCAATGGTTCTTAAGCATCAGAATCATTCGGAGGCATGCTGAAAGGTTCCCAGGCTCTCCTGTCCTTGCTTCCAAAATGACAAAGCAAATAAGGAATATTAGTGTCAAAAAGGGCCATGGCCATGTGCAGCCTATTTGCTGCACAAACTGCGCAGTATGTGCCCAAGGACAAGGCCACCAAGAAATTTATTATTCAGATCACAGAGGCTGCATCTATCTTCATTGCTTCCCAAGCTGTGTATGAAGTTGATTTACTGCATGAACTGTGCCATCCACAGAATGGCGATCAGGATTGGATCCCCCACCCTGATTTAGACTTATGGTGTTGCTCCACAACTTCCACCAATGTGGAAGGAGCTGGGTCTTTACTGAAGAAAAACTATTCTCTGGAAAAAATAAAATAGGAATCATACTTTCCAAAAATGTGCTACTCAGTGATGGACACCTGTAATCCCAGTAACTCAGAAGGCTGAGGCAGGAGGATCACAAGTTGGAGGCTAGCCCCAGAAACTTTACAAGTGTCTCAATGAAAAGGGCTGGGATGTAGCTCACTGGTAGTATGCCCTCAATTGGGGGGGGGGGGCGTGGAAGGTGCCAGTGTGTGTTGGGGCCCTAGAATTTGCATTTCTAATGAACTCCCAGGAGAGGTTTATACTACTGGCTCCAGAATAGCTGTCCCAGATGATTTTGGTAGATCAGTGGTTGAAAACTGTCAGCTACAGTTTCCTCCAAACTAAGCAGGGAGAGCAGCAAAACCCAGAATGTAGCACAATTTCTCACCATCTTCCACTTTCCTGTCCCTCACCATCAAGCAACAGAGATGGTCATGAATCCTGGGAGAAGGCACAATGTGTATGATGCACCATAGGCTTTGAATGTTTCCCATTTCAGGACAGTGATTGATAGACCTTAAGGCTACAATTCTACACCTTGGCAAAGTAGTCAGGTTCTCATCCTAGGATGAGAAAAGAGCCCTGCAAAAGGTAGGACGCTCCAACTAAGGCAAATTATGTTGTTGCTTAGGATCCAGCTTCCAGTAGGGGAGGCTACTTCCAATAGCAGGCAGGAAAACAGCTGGGTTGTAAGAGCCACCACCTCATTTAAAATCTCTTTGTATGTGAAATAATGCGGTAGACTTCATGGCCACCCTTGGGGTTATAGGCACCAGCACAATAGCCTGGGGATAAGGCAGGAAAATGGTGGGGCTTCTAGGGGTAAAGATTCTTATTTTGGTACATTTTAAGCAAACTTTCAATATTAAGGATCTTCATGAATCCAGGGTAAAAAAGGGTCACTATCTCTGGAATTGAGTCTTTGTAGAGGGGGTTGTATAGTCTTCACTGCTTTAGCTCTTGGCTTCAGCTCTCTGGCCAAGCTGTAGTCAGAGAATGTACAGCTAGAGGGGAGGATGGGGCTATAGCTACCCAACACAGTCAGCTCTGTGCACACTCACCAGACCAGACCTCTACTGTGGAGCTGCTTCCTCCAAATAGACGGAAGGACAGCATCAAAGCCATGGCTGGATGGCTATTAAGAAGAGCCTTCTGTCAACTGCTTGCTGCACGGGACCAACTTGGACTTTGTTCTGACTGGTCCCACTTCCTATTGACTGAATCCTTGCACCAGAACCCAGCCCCACCAAAAAAAAAAAAAAAAATCAGATCTAGTTTTATAGGCATTTAATAGTTTACCAATTGGTACAATAAGATTTTTAATATGCAGAAAACATGAATAAATTTTGTTTTACACAGTCTGAGAGCAACAAATCTTACTGTAAAACACAAGAGCAATATTATATACATTCCTTTACTGATTTTTTTTTTAATTGTGTCAATATCTTCAGTTAACTCTTACAATCTGGGGAACTGTTTTCTCCAATTACCACCTCTACAATGTTCATATGAAATCAATGCTTGCCTTCATGTCAGTGTCAGGATCAGATTATAACTGATTTTGTATTTATTTCTAACATCTTCAGAGTGAACTTTAGGGATGCCTGAAAGATGGGCAGGACAGGAAAGCAGCTACTTACATGATATAGTGGAAAGATAAAAAGGCTAGTTCAGTTCAGTCCAGTTGTGACTTGTAAATCCAGCTTGCCCTCCCCCCCACCCCACTGGAAACAAAACAAAACCTTTTTCCACCAATTTTGTACATATCGCTTCTCTACCAGGAGATTCTTTGCATCACCTAGATTAATCAACACATTGGATTTATATACAGCTGGACAGAAAAAGTAACCATTTTAAGTGCCTTTTCCTTCAAACACTTTCAACTTCAGTTGCTTAAGGATTATCAAGCCACCACTGTCAACAAACAAAAATGTGTCCTCTATTTTTAAATAGTTTTTCTTTAAATTAAAAAAAAAAAAGAAAGAAAAGAAATTATTTGATGACTGATATTACCTGGAARTTCACACAGAAACAGAAAGAGGCAAACAGGAAAGCAGGGCACTGACAGTAAGGAGACTGGGCTTGGTGAATCTAGAGCCAAAGCTTCCAAAGGATTATAGCACGCTCCACAGCCCA